GCTTGTGTTATGGGATGCTAGGGCAACGGATAGAATACATGTACAGTACATATGTAAGTATATTTATATTGAAATACATATTAAACATCCATGACTGGAGTACAAATGCTCGTATTCATCACACAAACATCTGCCCCCGCCGGGATTCGAACCCGGGACCTCTCGAGTCGGCGACACCATGAAACCCGGCGTACAAAACACTCGGCCACAGAGGTCGTCAATCATACTTTATTATAAGACAGAAAAAACAAAATGATGTCAAGTTTACAAATAGCAAAACGAATCGCCAACAATTTGTGACAAATAATTCAGTCCACGAAATGGTCAATATTGAATCTTAAAATTTCACAGTATTGTCTTATTTATTAAAAAGGACATAAAATTTGGCATTTGTTTAAAATACACGTTTAAACAAGTCACTTACAAGTAGCTAAAATATGGCAAAGTTTTATGTAAAGTTCCATAATATTAATAAGGCATTGTTGCTTAACTCTTTGGAAGTAAATACTTAACGAAACAAATATTTAACGAGCCCTAAATAGAGGCAAGATTCTCGAAATTTTAAAATTTATTTTGACAGCAGCTTCTCCTGTTTATTTTGGCCAAGATCAGTACCCTTAGTGTCGCCGCACACATGCCACACACCACAGCCACAAACGCCGCCACGAGAAGCTAGAAGCGGCTACTAAAGTGGCTGAAGCGCGTGACAGCGGCCGACTAAGGTAAGGGAGAGAGGGGTGGGGAATCGCGCGAGTGACGTGTGGCGGCGTTTTGTATCGGCGCATTAAGTGGCCGGTGCGGGCCACAAGAAGCGAGCAACGACGATTTGTAGCGTGTGGCGGCCACCGGCGTACCGTGTGTGGCGAGTCCATATAAAATGTATGAAAACTACAAGAAATATGCCGGTGGCGGCGTTTTGTGGTTATGGTCGGTGGCCTGTGTGCGGCGACACTTAGCACGAACCATTATCGAATTCGTAACGTCTGCGAGTCCGAAATGTCATTATCAAATGTGTACTGCTTTTAGTTCTCGTTACGTACTTTGTGGCGTCGCGTCGCTGTACAAGTTTCCATACAAAATTTGTTTCGCACTCGCAAACTATACGAATTCGATAATGATTCGTGCTAAGGGCATAGTACAAAAACTAAAGCACAGAAACAGTTTAAATTCTCCTCATAACGTCGACTCGTACAGTTGTCTTATTTTTACATACTGACCGAAAATGAGACAAACAAGTTTTGTCATATTTTTATTTTTTAAGCATTCAACTGCTTGATGTTTAAATTCAAAGAAAATTGTACTAGAAAAAATTCCACGCGGACCAAGCAGTAGACGGGACTCGAACCCGGACCCTCCGCTATCCAGGCGGAAGGGCATTATGCTACCGAGGTCCTAGTGACCTCATATGTAGCCTGCCAAAAGGCCACTAGAGTCTGTGCGGAAAGAGAATGGGCGTGGCGAAAAACGGAACTAACATTAAAAATTTTATTTGGCAATCAAACCCAGCAATCTGTAAAACGTCAAAGTTTTGTATTGATACGGATTTGTTTGTGGTTTTGATTTCTTCCGGTTTTTGTATTTAATCATGTCTAAAAGGGGTAAAACCTTACAAATACGGTAGGAAAGCACTACAGCGCCCTCCAATCTAAATCACATTCTCTTTCCGCACAGACTCTAATACTTTCCTTGTTTTTTTTTTAATATTATTTTTTTAATTTATATCAAAACATTCCTCCTTTGGTTTAGTTCATGTTCCGAGATCAGGTTAAATATTCTACTGTCAAAATATGTATTAGGCATACATGTTTCATATTTTTTTGTTTTTATAATCATGCGAGAATCAAACCCGTTATTGTATAAAAAGAAAAATCAAAACATAATGAATGACAATAAACATATAATCTTTTGTAAAAAAAAACTAATTCTCACAGATTCAGACAGGTACTAACGCCATCTAGCGTCGAAATCCCTAATTAACACTACATACTATTCACGCTTTTAAAACCTTGTCGATGCAGACTAAAGCACTTTATTTTCAGTCTTACTAACATGCATACAACGATGATAAGTATGACAAGGCACTGACGTAGTTAGTTAAAAACATGGCAATAAATCTAGAATGGAGTTGTATTACAGTATTTCTGTTTATTATACAGGGTGTTACAAAAATACAAATAAAGCTTGAAGGGCTTTGAAGTACATCATATAAGGAGTCCACTCTAATTTTCTTAAAATATTTGCATAATGTTTTAACTTTTTATAAAGACAGTTATTTTTAATGATCCTCGAACTAGTGACGTGTCTTAAAATGATCGCTATTTTTATTAATCATTAAAAATAACTGTTTTTATAAAAAGTTTAAACTTCATGCAAATATTTTAAGAAAATTAGAGAAGACTCCTTATATGATGTACTTCAACGCCCTTCAAGCTTTATTTGTATTTTTGTAACAGCCTGTATATACTATGCGATTCGAATAAGAATAGGAAAGCCAATGACCTACATCTGTCATATGTCGCTTGAAAAGTACGGTTTGCAAAAAAACATGGAAAACTTTTTTAGCACTCAGCTAATCTTACAATAAATACCAAACATTTGTAAACAAAAAAGGAAATAAATCATATGAAACGTATAGAAAATTAGTACTAGAAAAGGGAAATATAAGAATTCAAGTCTCATTATAAATACGGGTAATAAAAAGACCGAATTTTATTTTAAATAAAGTTGTCGTTTAGAAAACCTACAATAATCGATATTTTATTTTATAGCCGAAAGCAGCAGTAATGGTGATGACTACTCCGAAGGTAATGCAGAAATGAGCGGAATTAAAGAGCTAGATACTTATTAATGTTTTTTCTCACTTAATAAATAAATATTATTAAAAATCTGATATTTATTCTCACTTAATAAGTTTTATTAAAGAAAAACTGTTTTGCTCACTCTACATAACTGGTTTGAATTGACAGCTATGACGTCACAATATGGCGCCCAGTCGGTCCTATTCTTAGTTGAATCGCATTGTTTATTAAAAAAACACTTTTCTTCAACACGTCTGCATTATTAATGCAAGATTAAAGTATTAAACTGGTAACAACATTTATTTAATTTCTTCCATTACACTAGCAATACATTTTTTAATATGTGGAGTAATTTAATGCTCGCATTTCACATGGTATTCTTATTTGGTTAACTAGATTTGACAGCATTCTCTCCTTTTCAATCTTTATAGAGGAAAGTCACTATTTAACGTTAAAAAATAAATCTTGATAGTTTTTTTAACAAAAAAATATTTAAGATAAAATGTGTTACACTTAAATTTGTTAAAAGATATTGTTTACATATGTTTTTGGAGAACAAACTGTTATTAATTTACATTTAAAAAGAGCTATTTAAATCTATAATAACACAATTGAAATAAGGAAAAACTTAATCCAAAAGGAGCAATAAGTAATACACAACTGCATGTTATTTTTATATTCTCATTTTAAGTGGACTGTATGTCTTTATGGGAAATAAATTATCTTTGAACCTAAATAAACAATAAAATGAATTTTCAGCTTTACACTTCTAAATTTCATTGCTAACTGAATAATAAATGTTTCTATCCTTACTTCCTTACTAATATTATAAAGGCGAAAGTTTGTTTGGATGGATGTATGGATGGATGTTTGTTCCTCTTTCACGCAAAAACTACTAAACGGATTTTAATGAAACTTTACAGTAATGTAGCTTATAGATCAGAATAACACATAGGCTACTTTTATCCCGAAAAAAATGTTAGGTTCCAGAGGGATTTCCAAGAAACTTAGTTAACGCAGACGAAGTCGCGGGCGACCTCTAGTTTGAAATAAAAGAAAAGTATGAAATAAGTTGGCATTCCGTTATTATAATACATAAAATTTTCTATGTTACCAATCGCCTTTCCTTGTCGTTTTCATTTAAACAGAAAGAGAGGTACTTTCCTCCAATCAATGCCTATTTAGACTAATACCATGGAAGACAGACAAGCTCCCATTTAAGGGTAAAAGTGGTTCAAGATTTTATGAAACACAACTTTTTATTTTTCACTATAAGTACAGGCAATCCCAATCGAATAATTATCGTAACAGGCGTCACCTAGCGGAATTCCATAGTAACAATAAACTGAACATAGAATACTTCAATTTCGAGGAAAATAATTATGGCTTTAAATGGCCATTACAGACAATCAGACAAGTAATTCATTTATGAAATAACGGCCACTGTTTTTGGAGTTTACTCCTTAAGAATCGATTTGCATATATAAGGGGCCCGGTATGAGAAAAATGTGAGGAGTGAAGTCTATCGATGAATGACCTCGTTAAGTTTTTACTGTCTACGCTGTAGCAGCCGTAGTGCTACACCGTAGCACAGTATCGTAGCGTACCTTCATTTATGCACATCTGAAATTGACTATTGTAAAAAGTTTAATGTAAAATATTCCGTCGATTAGTTGTAATAAATGTATATGAAATGAATAAATATGTATTTATATATGTATATTATTTTCATTAATTTGTTAATTTACCCTTTCATACAGTATCAATCTTTCTTAAGTTAAATAAACTCTTTTTGCGTCTGGTTAGACTATCGAACTTAAGAAGTAAACTCCAGTCGTGCGTCGGAGCTGACACACACAATTTTTTTTATCTAGATGGCACTGTTATTAGTGCTTTTGGTCTAAAGTAGGATCGACAGCTTTGTTTATAAAAAAAATATGATACTTATTATAAAGGTACAATAATATGAATTCAGTTTCAACGCAAATTATCTGCTCTTGTATTTGATATATTAAGAAAAGATAACTAGACAGCATTCCGCAATACGAAAGCTATCTATTTGTGACATGATTATAAAAATCAAAGAAATAGATCAAATATTTAGTACACAGATTACTAAATCACCATTGCGAAAATAAGCGCGGTGACAATAAATCTAAAAATAACTAAATTAAATTATAAATTTAAATCTTTTTTTTGAAGGAATGTTACTGGATATTAAGAAGGAAGACCTTTCAATTTATAATTATAAAAAATGACGTCATCACATTATTTTTCGTCAAAAAATAGGACGATAGGCACATTTTTTCGCCCTTTTCTTCGTATTATCGCTTTTGTAGCTATCAAAATGTATTTGCCGTAAAGCATGAGCAATAAAGTCCACAATCGCATGGATTATCTGTTTGTGGTGAGAAACATTTATTTTCGCCTCAACGCAGTCGTAATAGGGTTCACAATCAGCTGGAAATCGGTTTGTAACCAGAAATCTGCATTTTAGTCTTAAAGCGGCCGCAATAAAGTCCAAAATCACCTGCATATCGGTGATATTGCGTTCGTCACTGCTGTGAAGTTTCGCTGGATGAGCTGTCCTCGAGAATGGGAGTCGAATCTTGGGATCTGAGGATCTTCCTTATTAGTATAATTACGCCCCATAGAAGTAATAAGACCCCGATTCCCTGAAAAGAAAATATATATTTACACATCGTGGGCTACCTACAATGCGAAGAGATGGCGCTGCCTTGCAGCTTAAGGCTAGGAAAATTTCGACGCGGCGAATAGGGCCGTGGTAGCATAATGGTCAGTGCATTCGCCCGGATTGCGAAGGGTGCGGGTTCGAGTCCCGTCCGCTGTCTGGTCCGCGTGGATTTTTTTTCTAGTAAACTTTTCTTTAGATTTAAACATCTAGCAGTTAAATGCTTAAAAATAAATAAAAACATAAATATATTTACTCTTTGTGTAAAAGGGTAAAATGGCATATGATTAGCTTGAGGAGCTCGATGGCGCAAATTGTTAGCGCATTCGGCTGTGATCGTTGAAGTTAAGCAACTTTCGCAGTGGTCGGTCATTGGATGGGTGACCAAAAATTTACTATCTCGAGCTCCTCCGTGCTTCGGAAGGCACGTTAAGCCGTTGGTCCCGGCTGCATCTGCAGTCGTTAGCACCCACCAACCCGCCCTGGGCCCGCGTGGTGGGTCATGGCCCAATCTCCCTAATCCATCCATAGGGAGGGCTTGTGCCCCAGCAGTGGGGACATTAATAGGCTGATGATGATGATGAAATTTATCTGAAAATTTAATGCTTACGTTTATCATATTTTGCATTGTACGCAATAATGAAAATAATAAAATACTAGCAAACCAGTGAACCAAATGTTCACCAAAAAAAAATGTATTTAATTAATTGAGAACTTCGGAGATTTTGTGTGGTTTCGTTTGAAATAGAAATCACGTGATTTCTCGAAAACCGGAAGTGCTACGTTACTCACATCCGGTTTATAGTCTTATCAGACTATTCTTAACTTATAACTTAAACATTCTCTATATCTATCTCTTACGGTTTGGCCGCTGAAACAGCACCATGGACGGACGGACGGACTTGTCTATTAGATAAGAGATACACTTGATATTTTAATGTTTAGTTACACAATGGTAACAAATGAAATCCAAGATTTTGCTTGTTAATTAAATTATTTGTAGTTGCTTACAATATCGTTTAGTGCGATTTACAATCAACACAATAAAAAAAAAATTACAAAATGGTGCACGTGTAATTGCTGTTGCAAGATTGGTAGGCGTTTAGACGCCTGTACATATTTCGTTCAGTAGTAGCACATACCAATATCGAATTCGTATCGTTTGCGAGTCCGAAATGTCATTGTCAAATGTGTACTGATTTTTAGTTCTCGTTACGTACTTTGTGCCGCTGCTGTTCAAGTTTCCATACAAAATTTGACATTGATATTGCGGTTTGCAAACTATTCGAATTCGATAATGGTTCGTGCTAGGGGTACAGACAGGTGTCTAAATGCGGTAGAGACTCAAGTTTTTGTTCTAATGATGTTGATTCTGGCGTGATTCTCTAAAGCTAAACTTAAAGGAGATTGCTCAAATTGGCCTAAATGCACAAAAAATATTGACATACACGGTAATTCTTGGCGTAATTTATAATTTAATTTACTAGTTATCTAGGAAACATTTTTTCATGATTATTGGTTTTTAGGCCAAACATGTATGGAAGCTGAGCAATCTCCTTTGACAACAGTACATTCTTGTCCTTCTCTATACAGAACGAAAAGTTTAGATAATCACGCCAGTATCGACACCAACATATATATATATATATATATATATATATATGGCACTCATAAATCATGTGGTTTTCTATTAGTAAAAAAAGGCTTTTCAAAATGAGTTCAGTAGATCCAGGGATTACTCCCCACAATGTCACAATTACCTAACGTAAAGTTTGGGAATGGAAAAGATAAATAGTTTTATTTTTTAAGCATTTAACTGCTAGGTGTTTGAATCTAAAGATTTTTTTACTAGAAAAGAACATATAAACTAGAAATGTCTTGAGGCCTAAGAAATACTAGAGAAAATTGGACACGGCCAATTAAGGCCACAATAGCATAATGGTCAGTGCATCTGCCCGGATAGCGGAGGGTGCGGGTTCGAGTCCCGCCTGCTGCCTGGTCCGCGTGGAATTTATTCTAGTTATATTTTCTTTAGATTTAAACATCATGCAGTTACATGCTTAAAAAATAAAAGAATATAACTATAGAAAGATTTTCTTTACTATAGATAAATATTTATAAATGTAACTCACGGTGAGTACGTAGAAGCCCACGGGCATCCAGTTCTTCAGTCTCAGAGCAAATCTGGCGGAGCTCGCATACATTTCGTCCATAACTAACTCTTGTCGGAACCAGAACATCGGCACCAGAGTGTCGCCGTCGGGCAACGCGTTGTTGATGCTGGTACAAAACAAAGCGTATTACAATTTTTATCGATACATATAAAAAAATGGTAGGAAAGTCAAAACTGTATAATGCGATTCAACTAAGAATAGTATCGACGGGGCGCCATATTGTGACGTCATAAATGTCAATTCAAACGAAAAAGGTAGAGTGAGCAAAAAAGTATTTATTTAATAAAAGTTATTTACTAAGATTAAGTGGGAAAAACCATCCGATTTTTTTAATAAAATTTATTTACTAAAATTGAGAAAAGAATAAAACCGATTTTTAATAATATTTATTAAGACTGTGCGAGAAAAGACATTAATCAGAATTAAGCTCTTCAATTCCGCTCATCTCAGCATTACCGCCGGAGTAGTTATGAATAATCATGCACTATTACTAGGTCACATACGAACATGCATTCTTGTAAACCAAAGTTTCAAATCGAGTTTCTGAACGCAACTTAAAGTGACTTTGGTTGACGGTTTAGGTTATCAAACATTCATAGCCAAAGCTCAATAAATGAAAATAAAATAGCAATCAATATTAATTAACAATATTTGTTATTGTTTGTTTACAAATGTTTGGTTTTTATTCCATAATTAGCTGAGTGCCAAAAAAGGGTTCTAAGATTTTTTTGCAAGCCGTACTTTTCAAGCGACATTTGACAGATGGAGGTCATTAGCTTTCCTATTCTTATTTGAATTGCATTATACATTGAATATTTTTCATTTAAAAGAATACTCAGGGTGAGATCTACAATCGATACCGAAGCCAAAAATAAGGTTTTTAGAATTTTTGTCTGTTCGTCTGTATGTATGTCCGGGATTAACTTGTACTGCATGGATTTACTTCAAATTTGGCACGAATATTTTAGTTTTACGAATAAAAAGTGTTGCCGTGGAATTTGTTATTTTATCTTGAACTATTTGTGTTCTTTATAAAAACATCGAAGGCATTGTTTTATCTTTATAACACAGAATATACGTAATATTGTTATATTGAGTGCAGATAGCGAATTGTGTTCATGCACAACAATTTAAGCGGTACACATTTGGGCCGCGAGTGCCGTATCTTCCCGTTTTGTTTTAATCTAAGGTTTTAAGACTTTGAGCGCTAATATTGAAAAGTAAATACTGTAGGACTTCCCGGTACGATTTTCAGCCAAAGAACTCTTTTTTACTAATGATTTTAAACGTTTTTTCTTGCATCTTGGTTTTTTTTCTATTTTATTTGCGTACTTTATTAGAATATGGTATTTGACAAATGTCAGAAAACGATTTCACGTTATTAACTAATATTTATGTAGTCCATAAAAAGTAAACATTTTTAAGTCTGTTCTGTGATTTAGTAAAAAAAACTAAATTATATTTTCAAGTTACCGCAAATTCGTTTCTCTGGACATTATGGCGTCCTGCTCGTGTGTTACATCACACGACTGTCACTAAAACGTTAGACGATACAATGTAATATCACTTTAGCCGGAAGTTTAATAGCGTGTGACGTCATTTAATCTTAGCCAATCCCAGTCTCATGGAGCAAAAAAATAATTTCTATTTAATGATTTTATAGAAAAGTTATTTATTATTTGTTTTTTCAGAATAGTAATATCGCTGCTTATATTCATATCAAATACAGATGCCAACAATGGAGAAATATACACAAAGCTCAACATAGATGGCGCTGCAAACGCTTGACCCAAACCACAGCCGAATATTGCAGCTGTCAAATTTTAAACGAGTTTTTTTGATTGTTAAAAATATTAAATAAGTGATGAAAATGTATTCTACATGGTCTGTAATACAGCTGAAAACAGAGTTAAAAAGGAGAGGAGCATCTGTGCATGGCAGAAAAGCTGATTTTATAGAAAGGTACTGTTTTAATTATTATGATACAATGCTCATTCTCGGTACATAAATGCATTTTCCATGATTATTTTAATAGTTCATGGATCTCAGTAAATTTTAGCGGGCTCATTAGTCAAAGCTATCTTATTTTTGCATCAGCAAAATGGGAAGTATAACATTGGGTTTTTTTACAGACTTTAGGCATATGACCGCAATTTAAATTTTGGTGCAGTTATTTCTGATCAAAATGAAGACATCCAGATGCAATTACCTGCCCCAAATACATACCATGATGTAAACAGCAGCTCAGTTCTTCCCCCCTTTTCAGAGCAGCATAAAAATTTTATTTTAGTCGGTAAGCATGCAGTTTACTCACAACAACCAGGAATTGGACAATGCATCATTTGTAATTTCTTTAATAAAAAGCTTAAAAATGAATATAAACTAATCGGTATGCATTTGATAGAAGTTTTGGGTCAAGCGATTACAGCGCCCCCAGTGGACAAATTTTGCAGATATCTAGTCCATTGGTACATTCTTTTTCATACTGTCAAATAGCCTATTCTAATTGTGTGCTGGCGGGTGTATTGGATATACTTGTGAAGGCGAAACTTAATATCTGAGGAGCTGGCGGACAAACCGTATAATTACGCATCCGGTCAAGCTACCTTTTTTCCAGTCCGGAGATTTCGGGTCCGTTGAATTTGAATTTCAAATAATTTTCAATCAAAACCACCTAAAACATTGTTAATATTACTAAATTTATCAATTGAAAACCATGCCAAAACCTCACTGTAAGTCATTCAGTTTTATACAGCTCGTGTAAAAAAATATTTTATGTAATTATCCTCCTCTCTCCATTACCTCCATTGAGAGTACTACTCCATGTGCACCTGGATGTAGCACATGGAGTACAAGGGCGGATCCAGGGGGGGGGGGAGTAATGGGGGTCATGACCCCCCCCCCCCCCCCCCCGGCTGGGTACAGATGGACCAAACCCAGAGGGATTTTATTTAAGTACTTTCAATATTTAATATACCACGACTATATGACCCCCCCTGGGGCCAAAGCTGGCTTTATGACCCCCCCTGGCGCCAAAGCTGGATCCGCCCTTGATGGAGTAGTACTCTCAATGGACTGACAACGCATTCACTTATAGTAGCTAACTGATTGTGGAAATGCAAAAAAAAATGTAATTATACCGTTTTGTTCGCCAGCTCCTTACTATTTCGCTCTCGCTCTATTTCTTTACTATTTTTTGTATGTTACAGCTTTAAATAATTATAGTTACTCACGTGATGCCGGCCACGTGTCGCACGAGCAGATTGATCTGAAGTTGCGCCGTTACCGCTAACGGCATGCCCGTGAACATCTCCAGGGCCAAACGGAAGTTGTGCTCACTGGAACAAATACACTGTTTAAGAGCAGACGCGATTTCAGAAATAGGTATTTGAAAGAACTATTGCTATCGAGGAACTCGATGGCGCAGGTGGTTAGCGCGTTCTGCTGCGATCGTTGTAGTTAAGCAACTTTCGCAGTGGTCGGTCATTGGATGGGTGACCAAAAATTTCTACCTCGAGTTCCTACGTGCTTCGGAAGGCACGTTAAGCCGTTGGCCCCGTATTCCATCCATAGGGAAGGCCTGTGCCCCAGCAGTGGGGACATAAAGAGGCCGATGATGATGATTGCTATCGCGCATTGGCATATACTGTGCGATAGGGACAACAGTAGCTAAAAGGCTGAAAATTGCTAAATTCGTGGTTTGGCTGTCTCCAGGGCCGCGGTAGCATAATGGTCAGTGCATTAGCATGGATAGCGGAGGGTACGAGTTCGAGTCCCATCTTCTGCCTGGTCCGCATAGAATGTTTTCTAGTACAATTTTCTTTATGTATATATATATATACTATTTAAAAAAAATGCTTTTATTTCAGGACATGAACTTTCATACCCTATTTTATCCCCTTGGGGGTAGAATTGATCAAAATCCTTTCTTAGCGTCATAACATCTACCTGCATGCCAAATTTCAGCCCGATCCGTCCTCATACATGTTAGTGACAGTCTTCTTAACCTATGTTAGTATTTCATTACAATTTCAAATATCAATCATCATTCCATAAATAAATAATTAAAATAGAACTAGCAAACCAGTGAACCAAATGTTCATCAAAACCTGATTTAAAAAAAAAAGTGTATTTAATTAATTGAGAACTTTGGAGATTTTTGTGTGGTTTCGTTTGAAATTCGTGATTTCTCGAAAACCGGAAGTGCTACGTTACTCAAATCCGGTTTGTAGTCTTATCAGACTATTCTTAACTTATAACTTAAACATTCTCTTTATCTATCTCTTACGGTTTGGCCGCTGAAACAGCACCACGGACGGACGGACTTGTCTATTAGATAAGAGATTTTTAAATTATCTCTTATCCATTAGACAAGTCCGTCCGTCTGTCTGTGGTGCTGTTTCAGCGGCCAAACCGTAAGAGATAGATATAGAGAATGTTTAAGTTATAAGTTGAGAATAGTCTGATAAGACTACAAACCGGATGTGAGTAACGTAGCACTTCCGGTTTTCGAGAAATCACGTTATTTCTATTTCAAACGTAACCACACAAAATCTCCGAAGTTCTCAATTAGTTAATTTTTTTTTTTTTTTTTTTGTGAACATTTGGTTCACTGGTTTGCTAGTAAACTATAACTTACGGCATTGGATGTAGACCGCTAATCTTGGATGGGTAGTAGGGGTCGGTATTCAGCATATGCGGCAACGTCACGAAGGCTGGAGCCCCGAACCGACACGCGGACACATTTAGGGCTCCGGACGGCAGGCAGTTGCGGTCGCGGTTCATGGCGCAGTAACAAGCCTGTAACAAAATTTATTTATCATATCGTTTATTCTCTCGTGAAAATGAGTTTATTGGATACTATAGTGTAGTATGTGCAGTACGTGAACTTCCTTAATATTGAAGTTAATGTTTAGTCACACTGAATATAAATAACACTATTTGTATTTATACTGTATGACACAGCAATCAAAATGCAGGTTTAACAATTAATGTATATTTAATAATTATGTAATGAAAAGTGACTTCATGAATCACCTCTGAAGTCATTTTTCAATTTGACGACTCTGTAAATAATAAAACAGGGAGAAAAAAACAGCCCTTGCTGAGTTTCTTGCCGGTTCTTCTCAGTACAAGGTCTCCCGCCGTAGATTTACGAACCGATGGCGTAGCTTCTAGACATTCATATGTGCTTGTAACAGCCTAAACTGAATAAATGATTTTGATTATGATTATGATTATGAAAGTGATGACCGGCGCAGTGGGAGCCTGGTGATCTGTATGACAGGTTTCACAACCTAGTGAAGACACCAGTCTCGGGAAAGGTTAAAATTATTTGCTAATTATACTTTGTATAAGATATAAGACTTTGTAACCATTCTTGAGAGAAATAAATAGATTATTATTATTATTATATTTAATTGTGACGCGATTAAACTTCGTCGTTAGCTCGAATACGTGTGCCAATGGAATTCGGGCAAACGACTAATGGCTCAATTACACTTGGTCGTTAATTGAATACGAGTGCCAATGGAATTCGGGCAAACGACTAATGGCTCAATTACACTTGCTTATTAGCCCGAATACGAGTGCCAATGAAATTCGGGCAAACGACTAATGGCTCAATTACACTTGGTCTTTAGCCCGAATAAGAGTGCCAATGAATAAAATAAAAACCCGGCGTTCAAACCACTGGGCCACGGAGGTCGTCACACATGATTTAATGAAGCCTAAAGGGATTGCAACTACAGTAATTTCACTCTAGCATACGCATTAAAACAACTTATTTGACAACCAATTGTACGGTGGCACGATTAATTTTGTTTATCAAGGTTAATGATATTTATATCAAGGTTGTTGTCAACTCAAACAAATAACAACGATTTTATACTTTGACAAATATATCAGTGTTGGGCGTAATTAATTACTTTTGTAATTTAATTACTAATCATCATCATCAGCCTATTAATGTCCCCACTGCTGGGGCACAGGCCTTCCCTATGGATGAAATAGGGAGATTGGGCCATGACCCACCACGCGGGCCCAGTGCGGATTGGCGGGTGGTAACGACTGCAGATGCAGCCGGGACCAACGGCTTAACGTGCCTTCCGAAGCACGGAGGAACTCAAGATAGTAAATTTTTGGTCACCCATCCAATGACCGACCACTGCGAAAGTTGCTTAACTTCAACGATCGCAGCCGAACGCGCTAACCACTTGCGCCATCGAGCTCCTCTCACTAATTACTAATTCAATGAATAGTAATTGAATTACTCTAATTGAAATTACATGTATTTGAAATTACTGTAATTCAATTACGTCCGAAGTAATTTAAATTACATTAGTTTGTAATTCCAATTACTCGATTACTTTTTAAGGGTAACATAATAAACTACTAAAATTGAGCGGTTATTAGCTTGATGCCCGTACGCAGCACAACAAGCACAACACAAACAAAGTTTTTTGTTTTTTTTATATTTAGGTAGGCAAATGACTCTACCCCACCTGATGTTAAGTGGTAATAAAGTCCAAACGCGAAGATAGCTGGTACAGCAGTGTTTGCCTCGTTACCAGTACCTATACATAGCTGTATAGGTAAGGGGTAAACCTATCCCCTTTTTAGTCTCTCGGCGTCGTGCACCTTTATTTCGATTGATTGTTCTCATATGCTACAATGATTAACTTACCGAAATCTTACAAACAATCTGATCAAATGTTTGAACAAAGAGTAGTATTAATGTTTAATTTAAAATAAATTAAACATTTACTGTCTTAATTTTAAAAAAGGTGGTTATAATTACACAATTTATTTGATCAATTTCGTAAATAAACATTTGATAAATCATAATATAATAGTTTTATTTAAAATACTACCTCGTCTTTAAAAGAGATTATTATATAAGTAATTGAGTAATTGCAATCAACAATTACAATTGCTAATTGTAATTGTTAATTGAATTACATTTCAATAATTTCAAGTAATTTGTAATTAAAGTTACCAATTACAATTTGTAATTGAAATTGTTAATTTGAAGTTAATTACATTTTGCCCAACACTGATATATATCACTACCTACTTATATGTAAATATTTATTAACTTATCAATGTAGCAATATATTTACCAATCAATCAAAATGAAAGTGTAAATGATTTGTTATGATTGATTATATTATTTAATGCGATACACGTTTCACAAACTGAAATTAGGAATCGTAATTATATTTATCGAAATATCGATATGAAAGATATCGCTATTAATGCGTTGCATTTTATGAATTCGTATTATATTTTTAATGCGATATTGTAGATCTTACACTATTTGTGTTTCATCTAGGTGACCGCATTAGTTACACTTTCCTCTAATAAGCAAATTTGCCAAAAATAATCCTTCCGTTGTCCGACCAATAAGCCTGTAAATGATCCGAAATGTCAGGAATGGTAAAACCAAAATTAATTAATAATATTAATGTGATGCAAGTTGACATCGACACATGTTTTCAATTTTTGATGTCATCTTTCAATTGACGTCTTTGTATGAAACAAAACAGGGAGAAAAAAAAATAGCCCTTGCTGAGTTTCTTGCCGGTTCTTCTCAGTACAAAGTCTCCCGCCGTAGATTTACGAACCGATGGCGTAGCATTTGACTTTCACAAGAGCTTGTAACAGCTTAGACTGAATAAATGAGTTTGAGTTCAATATGTAGCTCTTAATACCACTGCAAAAAGTGCATTTATCAAAAGATTCATGCATATTAAAATTTTGTATTCCAATTTAATTATGGACGAAATAAAATGATTATAATTGAGGAGCTGGCGAACAAAAAGGTTACATTTGCGCAGCTGGTCAAAATACTTTTATTTTACAGTCCCGAGGTTTTGGCCACGCTGAATTTGAATTTCAAATCATTTTCAATCAAAACCGCCTAAAACAGTGTTAAAATAACTAAATTAATAAATTAAAAACCACGCCAAAAGCTCACTGTTGGTAATGTCATTTAGTTTTTTACTGCTCCTGTAAAATTTAATTTTATGTAATAGGGTATTTGACAAGTTTTATAAAACGATCTCACGTTATTGACTAATGTTTATGGAAAAAGTGGATATTCATCATTCTGTTGTGTATTTCAGTAAAAATAACCAAATCAAAAACTCCATTTTCAAGTTGCCGCGAAAACGTTTTTTTGGACAATATGGCGTCTTACTAGTGAGTGACGTCACACGACTGTTAATAAAACGTCAAACGATACAATGTAATGTCACTTTAACCGGAAGTTTACTTGCGTGTGACGTCATTTAAGGCTCCGCCAATCCCGAGCGTTTTGGGTTACGTGACAACAGATAAGAAGACTATTATCTTTTTCGTGGGTTTGCAGTAAAATTATGAATATTTTTTTTGTAAAAATAGTAAAAACCCCTGCCAATATTCATTCTAAACACAGATGCTAATAACTGGCACTTAATTTTTAATACTGTCAAATACCCTATTATACCGTTTTGTTCGCCAACTCCTCAATTTGAATACTCACCGTATGCGGGTAGTTGTGACCGTTGTCGAACAATGAACTGTTGGCCGCGTACTGAACACCCTCGATGTTCTGCACCGTCACAGACTTGTCCTTGGGCAGGATCATGTATCTGTCGATAGGATGAAACGTTGGGATCAGTTCTTTCTTAATATCTGCATCAACAGTCTTTTGGGGACCCACAAGCTGGGGTGCAGGCTTTCTCTATGGATGGTATAATATCCGAGTCATGGTTCAGTGCCAGTTGGAAGGTGCTAACAACTGCAAATGCAGTCAGAACCATCAGTATATCATGTATATTAAAACACGCCGGGAGGTTGTTCAAAGACTAAACTTTTATTTTCTTAATACAGAAACAATAGACAAATATCAAGAGATGCAAATAGTTGTCAACAGATGGCCATTATTAGTATATAAGAAAGAACATTATTTTGATAGTAATTTTAACAATATATACGACCTAATTTATAGTCCGTAAATATACAATTCGATGGCGAGGGTGGTTAACGCGTTCGGCTGCAATCGTTGAAGTTAAGTTACTTTCGCAATGGTTGGTCATTGGATGGGTGACCAAAAATCTTCTATCTTGAGTTCCTCCGTACTTCGGAAGGCATGTTAAGCTGTTGGTCCCGGCTGCATCTGCAGTCATTAGCACCCGCCAATCAGCACTGGGCCCGTGTGGTGGGTCATTGCCCAATCTCCCTATTCCATCCATAGGGAAGGCCTGTGCCCCAGCAGTGGGGACATTAATAGGCTGATGATGATGATGACATATTAAACATCCATTACTGGAGTATAAATGCTCGTATTCATCACACAAACATTTGCCCCCACCGGGATTCGAACCCGGGACCTCTCGCGTCGGCGACACCATGCAACCCGGCGTACAAACCAATCGGCCACGGAGGTCGTCTTTTGTTTTGTATAAATATATAAGCGAGGTTAGATATACCTGCGAACAACAGGTAAATTAGTATTTTTATCAGATATGCCACTATCGAGCGAACTATGAAAGAAACCCACAGTACAGTCGAAATACGATTCCTGTTAGAGCCGGATTCGAGGTTCTTCTGATAAATACAAAATTCCACTTGCATTTTGTATAAAGCAATTTGTATTACACGAGCAGGGGTAGCAGGCGGTATAAAGATGGATATGACTGGAGTACAAATGCTCGTATTCATCACACAAACTGCCCCCACCGGCATTCGAACCCGGGATCTCTGGAGTAGGCGACACCTTGACACCCGGCGTACAAACCACTCGGTCACGGAGGTCGTTAAATTAACAAACACGCATTAACAGTTCTCGATTCACCTGTAGTTTTTGTTTACCAGGCCGTGAACGAGGAGAGGTGAGAAGAGGACACTTATCGAGTAGAGTTGTTGTGTTATAACATAGTGGTAGTGTTTTGAAGAAATGCAGACTAATTTTAAAATGTTTTAAGTAACTTTGAAACTGAAATCCAGGGGCAGGTTGAGTTTCTATTGGTCTCCTTCTGCGAGGATGTCATCTTGCAGAAGGAGGCTGCGGAGAGTCTGCGAGGTACAAGCCCTCGCGGGCTCGCTTTGCAGCAGAAGGGCGAGGGGGAGGAGAGACAGGAGAGGCAGGCGCACACTGGGATAGCCCGCATAGGGGCAAGGGGGGGACTGGATCACGTAGGAACCCTAGGATGGTCAGATGGTTCGAGTGCTGAACACCGTTCAACGTTCCTTTTCAGGAACAGGGTAGGAGCATCACCCCACAGTGAGTCTGATCATTGCGATTGGCGGTAGATGCTCAAAAGGCCCTTCTTAGGACCAAGGGGGGCGGGAGAGGGACGGAGAGAACTACGCTCTCCCTCCCACTCCTGTGAGAGCCGCTGGTCTGCCCTTGGAGGAACCGGCCAGCATTGCACAAGCTCCCTTGATGCTGGTGCCCCTGATACTCCGGGGCACCTTCATCGGGGTGGGTTGCGGGAGCGCGGACAGTCGGCAACGGTTGCCGCGACCACACCCGCACTCCCGGGGGCCTGCGGTCCTCAGAATGTACGCTGAGTGACCACCGCAGGAGTATTGTCTGATTTTAGTGGCCCTGTTCAGGGCGTTAGGTAGGGCCCTCCTCTATTCACCCGGCCTAAGGGCTGGCTGAAATGAGCAGGGAGGAGTCCCTTCCTCTCGCTCCTCCGATGGTTGAAGAATGCGTAAAGCATTTCCCAGACAAAAAAAACGTTGAGTTTCTATAGGCAGTTATATAGATTACTAGCAGTCCGCCCTCGCTTCGCTTCGGTGTAGAGCTGAAGTGTAGACTACAGTTTTTGTTCTCAGGCTTGTATTATACACAATAACATTCATCTATAATTCTTCTTATACCTGCATGCAAAGTCTCAGCCCGATCGGTTTAAAATTGACAAAGTTTCATACAAACTTTCATTCCCCATTTTATCCCCTTGGGGGTAGAATTGATCAAAATCCTTTCTTAGCGGATGCCTACGTCATAACATCTACCTGCATGTCAAATTTCAGCCCGATCCGTTCAGTGGTTTGGGCTGTGCGTTGATAGATCACTATGTCAGTCAGTCATCTTTGAGTTTTATATATATAGATAACTGGATGTTTAAAGCGCAGGACTAAACGCTCTGGAGATTTGGGGAGGCCTATGCTCAGCAGTCGGCGTTGTACGGCAGTTCATGATGATGATGAAATTGACAAAATAGCTCGCAATATATAAAATATCATGCCTTCCCTAAGATAATTATAAATATCCAAAAATAATATTAGTGTCCCGAAAATCCCGAAAGTTCCGGGAGGTCTCGGGATCCTTATCGGAAGGTTTGTTAGGTTCCGGAACTCGATTTTTGTGCCGTTTCTTCATTCCCTTGTACATGTAGTAAATGAGATGTAGAGTGTGTGCTACATGCTAAAGGTCTAGAGTGTAGTTCACGAGGTCTAAAATGTAGTATATTATAAGTATAGAGAAGCGAAGTGTAGTGCATAGCGTCTTAAATGTAGTAAATTGGATCTAGAGTGCCGTATTTGTGACTCAAGTGCATATATCGGGCGCGAAGACCGTCACTTCGACCGTTGGCCCAACTCGGGCACCCAGAATAGGGTATTTGACAAGTTTTAGAAAACGATCTCACGTTATTCACTAATATTTATAAAGTCCATAAAAAGTATAAGTATATTCATCATTATATTGTGTATATCGGTAAATAAACTAATTCAAGCTCAATTTTCACTGGTATTTGACGTCACACGACTATCATTAAAACGTCAAACCATACAATCAAATGTCACTTTAACCGGAAGTTTACTTGCGTGTGACGTCATTTTAGGCCCCACCAATCCAAAGCGTTTTGGATCACGTGACAATAGACAAGAAAACTATTATCTTTATCGTGGGTTTTTACTAAAATTATGAATATTTTTTTTATAAAAATAGTAAAAACTCCTGCCAATATTCATTCTAAATACAGATGCTAACCATTGGCACTTTATTTTTAATACTGTCAAATACCCTATTCCCATGTAAAACCCCGCATTTCCACATTATGTGGTTGGATTATGTTCTCTCTTAGAGTAGTATATTGTCTACAGTGAGTCTAGTTTATGACGTCTTGAGTGTATATGAAGTTCGAGTGTAGTTCATGGAGTGCAGTGTAGAAAGTGTAGTGTTTGGGACTAGAGTGTAGTTTACTGTGTCCAAAATGTAGTCTTAGCGACTCACATGCATATATCTGGTGCGAAGACAGTCACTTCAGGTTGGCCCAATTCGGACACCCAGAATTCCCATGTAAAACCCCATTACGACGACCTCCGCGGCCGAGTGGTTTGTATGCCGGGTTTCATGGTGTCGTCGACTCGAGAGGTTTCGGGTTCGAAACCCGGTGGGGGCAGATGTTTGTGTGATGAATACGAGCATTTGTACTCCAGTCATGGATGTTTAATATGTATTTCTATATAAATATACTTATATGTGTACAGTATGTATTCTATCTGTTATCCTAGCATCCTATTACACAAGCCTTACAGTGCTTACTTTGGGGCTAGGCTAATTGGTGTGGAAATATTTTTTATTATTATTACGCGGTTGGAGTATGTTCTTATTTATGTAATAAAAGTACATGATCTACAGTGAGTCTAGTTTATGATGTCTAAAGTATATTATGTCTTGAGTGTGTAGAAAGTGTAGTGTTTGGGACTAGAGTGTAGTTTACTGTGTCCAAAATGTAGTATTAGCGACTCACGTGCATATATCTGGTGCGAAGATCGTGACCTCGGGCTGACCCAACTCGGGAGCCCACAGCTCCCCCGTGGAGCCGCGCACCTCCCCGCACTCCCCCCGGTACAGGGTCCTGTTCGAGTGCTGCCACATCTCTAAGTTTCCGAGCTGGGAGAAGTCCTCAGCGCCCGTGTTCATCACAAATATGCCGTCGAATTCCAAAGAGCCGTTGCGCTGAAAGGTTTTGTTTTGGTTAAAAAGGGAACTAAGGACACTTGGCCTAATTAATTGTATTATAAAAAAAAATATTTCGGCAGAATATTTTATCGGAAAAAAATATTTAAACAGCAGCCCATATCACCCATTAAAGAAAACAATCAATTAACATTAAATTAATTTACAAATAATCGTCATAAATATTAAATTATCATACAAACTTTCATTCCCTATTTTATCCCCTTGGGGTAGAATTGATCAAAATCCTTTCTTAGCGGATGCCTACGTCATAACATCTACCTGCATGCCAAATTTCAGCCCGATTCATCCAGTGGTTTGGGCTGTGCGTTGATAGATCACTATGTCAGTCAGTCAGTCACCTTTGAGTTTTATATATAGATTGCTAATTCCGTTAAAAGCTAATGAGTATAGTTGCGCCTATTCTTGTGTTCAAATAAAGGACGTCCAGAATGAGTGGTAGGAAAAAGTACTGAACCCTTTCCCTAAGTAGATTTGGAAAGTATAATTTAATTTCGTATGATACACCCGATTTTCAATTTTGAATAAAATATATTAATGACATTATATCCTGAAGAAGTCACAGCAATACTAGTACCTTTAAACACGATAGAAAAATAAAATTTTGCTAACCGCGGTGCTCATGCTAAGGGGGCATTGGCCTCGCAAAAAATTTTTACAAGTTACCTATTTATTTTCGTTTCTCCTGGCCTGGCTTAGGTAGCCGACCCCGAACAATTCGGGGAAAAAGCTAAGCAGATGACAATGACTTTTATTATTTTCGAACACGTGCGTGATGGAAGCGAGTAGTACTTTACGGGTATCGTAATAATCATAATGTAATCGTCTGTCTGACAACACTATTTTTGTAATTAAATTTCTATGTTTGTAATTATTTTTTGTCATCATTTGATTATCAACAATAAAAATCGTTTGCTCATACGTTATTTTATAATTTGGCTCACTTAATTTAACGGTTTTTTAATGCGAATTAAAATAGGCTTCGCGAACTTGATGTCGCCGACGTCCACACGTGGTCTAGCGCCGCCACTGTAAGGGGGGTCGATTAGCATGAACACTGCGGTGTACTTAAATTATTATCATGAAATGAAATAATACTTTAAATAGACTTATCGAAAGTTCTTTTAAATCGTCCAATATTTTTTCCTACCACTTATTCAGGTCACCTTTCAACAATCCAACCAACAATCAGCATTTAAAGAAAAACAGAAAAAAAATCAACATTTACATAAGAACATGTCGCTACCAATACATACATTCACATTTTAATTACTGTCATGCAGTGTCAATACATATAGTGTTAAAATCATTTTTTTTTATCACGCTCAAATGTCAAAATGCTATGCAGTTCGACAGATAGACGTAATAATATCAAATCGCTGTTCACATGCGACGGGGGAAGGAACTTTCAGGCTAATCTCCAGAGCCTTGACCACCGAAGACGTGTAGCTTACCTCTCGGTGTTTTATCGGTTACATTTCGGAGAGTGTGCGGAGGTATTACATAATTTGATCCCCCCTTCCCCTTTCCACCACCCGACGACCAGGCGCGGCGAGGGCTTCCACCCTTATGTTGTCGAAGTTCCTCCCATTCGCACGAAGCGATTTGCTTCGGCCTTCATTATGCGAACGGCTAGGGAGTGGAGCTCCTTGCTGTCTGTTTTCCCGGACCAATATAATAAGGCCAGAGTGAACAGGCATCTTCTAGGCAGGCGTGTACCATCCTAGGCCTCATCATCGCTTTCCATCAGGTGAGATTGTGGTCAAATTTATTGCCTATTTTGCATAATACAAAAAAATAAATGCTCCTCATTGCTGAGGGTCGTGACCGCCACGAATTATTTTGTGGACGATCGCATTCCACTTTTTGCGGTCTTCAGCATCGCGGACTCCTGTTTTGGTGTTGTCGCGGATCTGGTCTGTCCAGTGTTTTCTAAGTTTCATTCATTCATGTCAGCCGTATGACGCCCGTGAGGTGTGATGAGGAGCTCGATGGCGCAAGTGGTTAGCGCGTTCGGCTGCGATCGTTGAAGTTAAGCAACTTTCGCAGTGGTCGGTCATTGGGTGGGTGACCAAAAATTTACCATCTCGAACTCCTCCGTACTTCGGAAGGCACGTTAAGCCGTTGGTCCCGGCTGCATCTGCAGTCGTTAGCATCCGCCAATTTCCCGTCCGCTGCCTGGTCCGCGTGGATTTTTTTTCTAGTAAACTTTTCGTTTTTTTTCTAAGTTACTGTAAAAGAATGCAGTCACGGGGCTCGCTTCTGAAAGTGTATGTGTTGCAATGCAAACGTTCCGTTTCATCCAATGAGGCGAGCGTGAGTTACAGCTGAAGCGAGCGAAAGTAAGCCGCGACGTAACAATGAAAGTATCACGCGCCATGAAGGAATCCGCGTAATAGATTCATGCAATCGATTACCGAACAATCTTTACAATGATGCTATTCGTCAGCCGGCCGGCGAATAATTTGACACTAGCAAACCAGTGAACCAAATGTTCACCAAAACCTGATTTAAAAAAAAATGTATTTAATTAATTGAGAACTTCGGAGATTTTGTGTGGTTTCGTTTGAAATTCGTGATTTCTCGAAAACCGGAAGTGCTACGTTACTCAAATCCGGTTTGTAGTCTTATCAGACTATTCTTAACTTATAACTTAAATATTCTCTTTATCTATCTCTTACGGTTTGGCCGCTGAAACAGCACCACAGACGGACGGACGGACGGACTTGTCTAATAGATAAGAGATACTTTTTAAGCAAGGCCGCAGTGAGCGCTTGGCTTTCGGCCACTGGTAACTTAGATCAGACTAACAATGGCTGTGGTTATGGGTAACGTAATACTCGTGCAAAGAGATTTATTATTATACTTGCGCCCATATCTGTTTGCAGTTCAAGAGTTCATATGAACAAAGTTACCGTCTGTTATTGGCTGTCCCTGGGAGCAAATCTTTTTTTTTTCTAGCAACATCGTCATCAGCCTATTCTCTAATAACATAATTGTTATAAAATCTTGCCTCCCTCACAGCTCTTCGACCAAGATAAGAACTGAAATTTGTCTTTAGCACAATTGGAATTATGGAAAAACGGTGTTTCCAGTCGAATCCGAACTTTTAATATTTATTAATTAATAATCTGTAAAAAACTTTACCTTCAAATTAATTCGATATGCACATTGTATTTTCAGCAATCTTCGCGATTTAACATAATATCAGATAATTAGCGTCACGTCACGTCACACTGTAAAATTCTGTGCAATATATTTTATACTTTATCTTCCCATTAAGGTTGAAAATTGATTTTATCAAAGGACATGGTAAAGTTATTATTATTATTATAGTGTCACAATCTTGAAAATTATGAAAGCTCCTACTATATCATTACCTTACTACAGTTGATAAATATGTTGCCAATAATTTACAGTCATCAATTTCGCATTTTCTTAGAATTTTTCTTCCCATTTCTATGATTAACTCTTCACAAAAAGTCTTTTAAAGCAAAAATAAATACAAATAATTTGCTATCGCCGGCCTGTCAGGAAATCTGTGAAGTTTTATTTTGTCCATTTGCAAAAATTAAAGGATTAGTTATCGTACAGCCTTATCTCAAGCCTGATCAGAATAAGAAAATCTATTATTAAAAAATATAATAGATTTTCAATCCAAATATGTCATAGCTTGAACGAGTTTAGAAACAATATTGTTTATTTCGATATACTTACAAAAATATTTTTTGTGTACATTTATTCTTCATTTATTTTGCTTTTGAAACAGACAATGAGTAAATTTTTATACTTTTAAATATTTGATTATTTCAGAAAAGTTGTATGAGAATAATAAACACATTTCTAATTAATAAAAAAATATTGTAAAGTTACGGGCTAGTGCGAAATACTTATACACATTAAGGGCAGTTTCTTAGTCATGTCCTTTGTTTGTTAGGTTTTCACGCACACCACTTATTAAATGAAACAACTTTCAACGGTATAAAACGTCGAAAATACGACGCATCCTGAAAATGATCCGAAACTTATTTTTCGACGTTTCGCACCCTTTCAGGATGCGGCGTCATGAATCAGTGCATCATCTGTTGAACCTCGTGGCCGAGTGGTTTGTACGCTGGGTTTCATGGTGTCGCCGACTCGAGAGGTCCCGGGGTCGAATCCCGGTGGGGGCAGATGTTTTTGTGATGAACATGAGCATTTGTACTCCAGCCATGGATGTTTAATATGTATTTCTATATAAATATATCGTTGTGGAAATCCATGGGGGAGGCCTATGTCCAACAGTGGACGTCTTTCGGCTGATGATGAAGATGATGATGATATAAATATACTTATATATGTACAGTATATGTATTCTATCCGTTACCCTAGCATCCCATAACACAATCCTTATAGTGCTTACTTTGGGGCTAGGCTAATTGGTGTGAGTGTTGGAAATATTTATATATTATTTATATAAAGTTGTTTAATTTGATTATATCAATTTTGTATACTCTGAAACGCTGTTGTATACTTTTATGTACATTAGTTATTATTCATTATAACCGCACTGATAAGTCTCGAACGCGTGCGTATGTCAAGTTTTTCCAGCGAACTCTGCTCTATTTAAATAATGATTATCGTGAGTGGGTCATGCTAAGCTAATTTGATTCTTAACAACCTTTATTTAAAGAGCATTTGATTTCATATGATTTCTATTTGTCAAGTATGTTAGGAAGTAATTTGGATAATAAACCACTTTGTCGAACGGCAATGTAGCGCAATTTATTTGAAAATGAAGCAGTGCACTAGAATTAACATAATATTTTCTTCAACACTGCCATCTTAGGAAAAAATCTGACAAATTAAAATTTGAACAAATCTGAAGATAACATCATTAATGTCGTTGTTGCCACTGCCATTTATTGGCCGTTAGGAACACGCTGTAAGGAACATCAACATCATCATCAGCCTATTAATGTCCCCACTGCTGGGGCACAAGCCTTGCCTATGGATGGAATAGGGAGATTGGGCCATGACTAGGGCTGCCATCCGTCCGGGTTTTCCCGGATTTGTCCTAGTTTACGGGGCGTCCGGGGAGCGTCCGGGCGGGGTTTTATTTGTAGTCAGGGTTTAAAAATTTACGGCAACGCATGAATGGCCCTTGGTGCTTGCTGCAAGTGTCCATGGGCAGCAGTGACCACATATTATGAGGTAGACCGCTAGCTCTTTGGCCTACATCAACATAAAAAAGTTGATTTGTGATATTTTTAACTGTTTTTTATTGGCCTGTCCGGGTTCTGGGCTCTAAAGTCCGGGGTTATCACGCGTCTTATCCTGGTTGCCACATTTTAGAGATGGCAGCCCTAGCCATGACCCACCACGCGGGCCCAGTGCGGGCGGGTGCTAACGACTGCAGATGCAGCCGGGACCAACGGCTTAACGTGCCTTCCGAAGCACGGAGAAACTCTAGATAGAAGATTTTTGGTCACCCATCCAATGACCGACCACTGCGAAAGTTGCTTAACTTCAACGATGGCAGCCGAACGCGCTAACCACCTGCGCCATCGAGCTCCTCACGTAAGGAACATACTACAGCAAAAAAAAGTTATTACTTTCAACCATCCGAACTTGCCATATGGTAAACGTGATGAATGGACACATCGGCTGTTAGGAACCTTAGATTAAAACAAAAAGGGTAGATACGGCACTAGCCTCACAAAAGTGATCCGCATGAATTGTGGTCCACGACCCTGATCGCTTTAGTCACAACTTGACATTCAAACGACGTACATGTGAACGTGAAAAAGAAATATTGCTAATATTTTGTGTTTATATGATAAAACAATGCGTAAGTGTGTTTTTAAAAAGTGCTCAAATTGCTCAAGAACTAAAAATAAAACCCACGGCATCACTTTTCATTCGTAAGTACTATAAAATATATTTTTTCATAAAAAATGCTGTTTGTTTTGAATCTTATTCGGTAGTGACGTCGAGTACTGGTCGCGTGATTGGTCGGTAATGCAGTGACGCAGATCTCGCCGTCTCGTTCGCGCTGCCGTTGAAACTTAACGTGCTGTTTCGTTCGGGTCGGTAATGCAGTGACGCCGTCCCGTTCGCGCTGCCGTGGGATCAGTTTTTGTTTGATGCAAGTATGAGCGTACCTTATCTACCCTTTTTGTTTTAATCTAAGTTAGGGACATGCCGCAAGGAACATACTAAAACTCACCGTGTAGAACCATCCGAACTTGTCATAAGGTATGTTGATCGTAATGAAAGGTATCTTTTCTGCTATATCAATGACGCGGTCATCGATTCCGTCGAACAGCCATTGGGACACGTTGGCAGTCAGGAACATGTTATCGTGAAACATTCTCAGGAAACTGTCCACGAACACGTTGAAGGCCACTCGTTCGTAACGCATCACGTGAGCTACCGTCTGCGAGATGATAAAAAATAAAACCATTGTTAAATAGCCGTCTGGGGAAGTAAGAAATGTGGAGGTTCCACCTTACAGAGGGCCGCAGTAAAATAACACTGCATCTAAAGAAAATATAACTAGAAAAAATTCCATGCGGACCAGGCAGCAGACGGGACTCGAACCCGCACCCTTCGCAATCCGGGCGAATGCACTGACCAAATTGTGGGTTACCTATAATGCGAATAGATGGCGCTGCCTTGCAGCTTAAGAGTTTCTACTAGAGAGGAATTTCGACGCGATCCGTGAGGGCCGCGGTAGCATAATTGGTCAGTGCATTGCACGGATTGCGAAGGGTGCGGGTTCGAGTCCCGTCTGCTGCCTGGTCCGCGTGGAATTTTTTCTAGTTATATTTTCTTTAGATTTAAACATCAAGCAGTTACATTACATGCTTTAAAAAAATTACAATAACACTACATTTTGGTGGTGTTCTGTTTTTGTCGGGGAGTAAAGTTCCATTCAGGGGCGCGATTTATATTTTTTTGTAACGCAAGCGTCTACAGCATGGGTTCCGAACCTGGGGGTAATTACCCCTCCGGGGGTAAATCAGCCATACTTCGGGGGTAACAAAGAACCTAATTATTTGGTCAAATCTAAATAATAAGAAAATACTATATAATAATACTACTAAATAGAGCATGCGCTCATTCTTGTTAGCGCAGTACTGAGTGTAGGAAACGGGGCGAGATTTTCTCCTGATGATGACATTATTAGAGACGAAGATGTAGCGGCCAAATTGGAATTTCTTGGACTGACTATAACATTTTAAAGTCGGGGTAAAATCTGTTTTCCTAATGGGTTACAGGGGTTATATTGGAAAGGTTAGGAAACACTGGTCTACAGGCTATGGTGGCCGCTTACCACTAAGCGAGCGATAAGGTTGTGTGCCACTCTTTTACACATGGACACGAAAATAGTAGTAAAAGCGAGTAGTTATCATACGTCCGCCCTCCCTTCCTCCAATCGTAGGTCCCTCCGATTCCGTCGGCCTAGGCACGTCTTAGACTACCTAGACGACGAAATCACCCGCGCCAACGCGCCTCCGACTCCTCCCACACAGGCCACAAACACCAACACTACACAGCTAGCAAACGTGCACACTAGCTTAGCATTAGGCAGACACCGCACCCGTAGGATAAGAGTGCGAAGACCCGGTCTACACACGACACGCTATACCAGGTACAGGTACGTACCTGGGCGTTTTTCCCCGCCCCCACGACAACGGCTAACTAGAGCTGAGGTCCGAGTCTCAGAGACGCCCTCTAGTTGAGCCGACCCCCTCAGGTTCGAGTGGTCTGGAGGCTCCAGACGGAGTGGAGACTCCCCCCGGGGAGACGCCATCCGACTGGAATACCTCCAGAGGCACTCGCCAATTCTCGACTTGAGGTCCTCTTAGGATCTCGCCGTCCCCAAACCCGGTGTCGCTGTAAAGGTCATCTGCGACCAACAGCATACACACTCAAAAAAAAAAAAGACACGAAAATGTATGTGTGTGTGTGTGTGATGTGTCGAAAAACACATCTGATCAAAGTGGAAAGAGCGCAAAGGCTTGTACTGAAGGTTGGTGCTTCACTCCCAATTCTTCATCCCACGAGTCAAGTTTACAGGATTTGGGAGGTGCTTACTGTCCGTCAGCTCTTTATATTATCAACTGTTCCCCGTAAGCACTCTCAGCTTCATTTTGATGGGAAAGCTCTAAATGGTAGACGACGTAAGGGAACTGGTTGTCCTACCCCTCCTTTAAAAACTAAGCTCACAAAAAGATTCTTTTGCTTTATGGGTAGCCTACCTTTACAATAAATTGAACACAATCCTTTCCTTCTATTCAATGACCAAAAGGGACTGTAAAAGAAAGCTAAGCTCATGGCTACTTAAGCTAACATATGACGGAACAGAGGACCTATTGCTCACCTCAGGATAATATACCGCGAAAATATCAGCTGTCTGTCTTACACTTATCATCCACACACATAATTATAGTCACGTTTACACACACAAGCACGCACACTCACACTCACACCAAATACACACACATACTGCATAGAATTTCATACAAATACACCCTTTGCTTATACCTGTGTCAATTAAAATTAGTAAACTTAGTTAAATTTATATTCATACTGTTATTTGTTAACCAACATTGGCGATTCGAGGTGGTGGGAGCCTGATGACCTGTAACACAGGTATATCGTACCTAGCACGGGCATCAGTCTCACACAAACATTAATGTAATGAACTATTTAAAAAATTGTTATCGATGCCAAAATGTTTGTGATGAGAAAATAAACGATTTATTATTATTCTCTTTATTTATTGTATAACATATTGATTACATTTTTAAATATTGATATAAAAATAAAAACATTTAAAAGTATAAAAAATAGAAGCCAACCGGCAGCGGGAACAAGGTCCTAGCTACCGGTGGTTAGGGCCCCAGAGAGAGGAACCTCCTCACTATGCGAGTCGTGTCAAGGAGCACTGCCTTCTGTAGCAGGCCCTTGACCCAGTCACCCAACTCGAGCCTCCGCAGATGACAGTCGAAGCTCTTAGCTATCAGGCCATTGACTGTCACAACTATCGGCACAATGATAGCCGAGTCAACATCCCACATGGCGACAACCTCATGAGCCAAGTCAAGATATTTTATTTGTTTATCTTTCTCGGCTTTCATGAGGTTCTCATATTATGTAATATTATATATATTATATTATTATATATTATATTATATATTATATTTCATGAGGTTATTATTATTATTATTTTACCATAAAAAAAATCAAAAACCGTTATTAATCTGCTTCCATCATGGACGTTCTATATAAAAAGGACTGACAACCAATGCCGATAAAACGGTACGAGGGGGAGATATAGTACGGAAGCCTTTCTAATAGGAAGAATATTACTTTATTTTTAGGGAATACGAACATTAACATTTCAAAGATTTCTAACTGATATTATAAAAGCGAAAGTGAGTTTGTTACTTTATCACGCAAAAAATACTGGAAAATGAGAATGCGGAACGTCACGTCTTAGTAAAATTTTTACTTAGAAGTGACGTCAGGAGCCCCCACTCCCAAACTTTGAAGAGCTCTAGAGTCTATGCGGAAAGAGAATGAGATTTAGATTGGAGGGCGCTGTAGTGCTTTTCTACCGTATTTGTAAGGTTTTACCCCATTTAGACATGATTAAATACAAAAAACCGCAAGAAATCACAACAACAAACAAATCAGTATCAATAAAAAACTTTGACGTTTTACAGATTGCTGGGTTTGATTGCCAAATAAAAAGCTTAATTTTAGTTCCGTTTTTCACCACGCCCATTCTCTTTCCGCACAGATAATCTTTGTTATTTTTTGGTTGATTAACTCTATTTCGCCTTTACGGTTGCAGACTATCTTCTCCGTAACTTTTTTCTTATTGCTTTCAAAGGTAGACAAGCGGACGGGCCAACTTATATTAAGCTATTAACGTCGGCCATGGATATTAGCAATGCCAGTGACATAGCCATGCCGCTGCCTTTCGTGAAACAGTCTCTTTAAGCCTCTTTTGCTCGCTCTAGATCAGTGTTGCCAGGTCCAATTTTTAAAAATCGGGAGGCGTTATAGAAAAAAACAGTAGATGTATGGAAGGAGCTGCAAGAAAAACAGTAGATGCTGAGGCGTATTTTTTGTCCCCCCCCCCCCCCCTAGAATTGGTAAATCAAATCAAGATAAACTTAAGACCAGTAACGACAACGACTATGTTTCTGTGGCTTCTGCCGCCCCATAAAGCTAGTTTTTTTTAGACAATAACATTTATTTTAAAATTAATAAGGTTACGTATATTATTAATGGCCGGAAATGCAACTCCACATGCAATTTAAAAAAGAAAATCGAATTTTAAGAAAAACAGGAGATTCATGTTGAAAAACAGTAGAACATGAGAACTTTCAGAAAAACAGGAGATCTCCTGTAAAATCTGGAGACCTGGCAACACTGCTCTAGATGCCTGTTTAGTCAAATCGAGCCTCCTACAAGAATGCCACCAAACCTTAAACAAGGTAGGGTCAAACAATTCTATTACCATCCAATGGATCAAGGGACACAGTGGCTCACGCGGAAACGAGCTGGCGGAGCTGGGCTGACTGGAGTGACTCCGGTCATACACCCTCCTCACGCAAAACAGGCGCCATAAGGACGTCGAGTTGCGGAAACGCCTGTAGCAAGAAGAAGAAGAAGAAGAAGAAGAAGAAGAAAAAGAAGAAGAAGAAGCAGCCTCTTTTGAAGCGGAACATGTCATAGTACTAACAAGACCTTGGAACACTGCCGGATTTAGGGGAGGGCAACCGGGGCGAAAGCCCCGGGGCCTCCACAAACGGGGGGCCCCCACAATAGAGACTTCGGAAAAAAAACTTTCAAATTCCAACTAGTAAACACTAGTAAACATCTTTTCCTTTGATATTTTTTTTTGTCCTTTTTACCTTTACCCAGGGGCGAATTTAAGGCAGGGCAGGTGTGGCTGTGGCCTAGGGGCCTCCACAACAGCTTAAGAAATAACAACATTTCGATGGGTCAATAAGCATACAAATCCTAAGTGGCCCGGGGCCTCCACAATCCTAAATGCGGCCCTGCCTTGGAGCTAAGTTTTTGTTTGTGGAATAAAAGATCTCTGGAATCGAACAGTTGTGGATTTCAGTGTTTCCAGGTAATACGGCTGAACTTGACTCCGAGGACGGGTGATGTGGTGGTGAAATAGTGCTGTGGGTATTAACTGAAAATATTGCTCGGAGCATTCACCATGATCACAGAATATATACACTACGCGAAAAGAAGCGACACTTAAGCATGTGTGCTCGTAAAATCGGCCGCGGCTATGTGTGGGTGTCTGGAGGTGTGCGGGGGCGTTGCGCGGCGCGCGGGGCGTGGAGAGGGCAGTCGCCGACTGCCTCGACCGAAGGGATGGCAGTAGCGAAATAGTAAAATAATAGCGTTGCACTGCATTGCACGCACAGACTGACTATGCTACGCAATCTTATTATTATTTAGATAATAATAAGAACTATAAAACGAATCGAAAAAGGAGAAAATATATAAAAGTTAGCAATTTGTTATAGTACCTACATTAAAAGATTAAAAATTCATTATAAAATCAAACCTATCCTTCATTATTTACCCCAGTATCCTTGAATCAGTTTACATTTAATAACTTACTATGCATTAATATTCATTGGCACAAGTCTAAATTCCAAGTTCAACCCTAGCGCATACACGCTCCTACTCAAGGTCACTGACGCTGGAACTCTCACGTACTCAGAGTGTCACCGCTGTGCCATGATAGAACCTGTAGAATACGCATAGGTAACCACAAAGTCCCTGCGCAGTTCCCAATGCGTAAATAATGTAGTGTCCGACCGAAAGTTCGGTTTCGGCCGAGTTTCGGCCAAAAATCAAGTTTCGGCGGCAGTTTCAGTTTCGGCCAAAATATTGGCCGAAACTTTTGCCGAAACCGAAACTAATTTCGGAAGTTGTCGTGCAGGCTCGCCTAACTTCGTTTCTCGCGGCAACGCATTGGCGGACGCTGGCGGCCCTGGGGGCCAATCGCCTAACGGAAATGCTTTGGAAAACGCTAACGCTTACGATTTTATTTTGTTATTTCTAGCCGCCTGAGGTATTCAAATGCTTCGCGCTCTTTCTTTTTCTTTTGCATTGGTAATAACAATATTAAAAAAAATGAGCGTGAGGTATTCGAAGACATCAAGCGGCTAGAAATAACAATATAAAATCGTAAACGTTAGCGTTTCCCAAAGCATTTCCGTTAGACGATTGGCCCCCGGATCGGGAATTGTCGTGCGCCGTTCGGATAGCTCCGTAGCACACACAACCGGGTGTGTTATCGCCCGACGCAAACATTCTTTAGAGGTTATGTTTTGATGGAACTTCTAAGAGATTGATGATTCTTCTAAGTACAAATACAAACCAAAGTATTAATTAATAAGATTTCAAAATACCAATACTTAGTATTTAATGAAACAGTAAAAATTAGTGATTTGATTATGTGTTTGTGTTTCCATTTCATGCCCTAATTAATGCAGAATAATGAGGGCTATCGCGTATGAATCCGCCGCTAGAGGCGCTAGTGTAGCGTGAGGTCTCCGAAATGTCAAATGTTATTGCTTGTCGGTTGACTACGCGGGTTTATTTCTAATTAAAATAATGTGAATAATTTTGGTAACAATTCGGCTTAATTATGGCAAATATGAGTTATGTGGCAATGAATGTCAGTTATTAAAAATTTGAGCTTAGAAAAATGATTATGTTCCCATTTTTTCCGAATAAAACGGAACTGCGGGTCACTGTGGCATGGCCTATTATGTTTAGGATATGGTTCTTTTGTGTTAAAATACGATGTAAATGTAACCTTTGATTTCATGTGCGTATTAATAAACTTTAAAAGTTACAATTTAGGACCTCACTCAACAGTGGCGCCATCTGGTGAGGCAGAAAACGGTAGCCGTACGGTAGAATGTTCGGTTTCGGTTTCGGCCGGAAAACCAGTTTCGGTCGGACTCTAAAATAATGTAATTCTTACCGCGATCACAGGGTTGATGGTGGTGACCATGTCGGAGAGGCTGCCGTTGGACATCTCCGGTTCGTAATGCCACACCCTCTTGTTGTAGAATGTCACTGTACTGTTCGGGTTCCACGTGAGGTTGACCTGAGGGAAAATGTGACATTATACTTAAGAGCCCTTTCACATTTTTTGCAAAAAAATCGTAAGTTTTGAGCGCCTCGTTTACCCCCTTAGAAAAGATTTTGACTATTTCCAATAGAAGTAAATAGTAGATTTATTCTTCCTATTGTAAGTTAATGTAGAATATTTGCAAATACTATTTTCTTTTTTTTTTGTACTGATCGTTCTACTGCAGCTAGTTTACGGAAAAAACGATAATATGCACAACTTCAAACGCCTCAATCTCTCAATAATGTTCAATAAATTAGATGAAATTAATTACTACGACACCAGAAATATGTTTTTGTTGTAACATAATAAATTAGAATTTTGATTTTCCATCTCATTAATTATCAAAAATCGTGAGTTTTACCAAAAAATAATGCAGGTTTATCTCGTATTTTGATATTGAATTAAATACAATTACTATCAAAACCTTTCATAAAACTAATCTACCATCATTGAACTACTGAAATATGTATATATTTTTATAATTAGTTCATTAATAATTATTTTATAAGACTCGAAACATCACCCGTAAAATGCAATTACATATACACATACATTTTTTTTAATCATTATGTATAATTTTGAGCTATTTATTAAAATTTACACTTTAATTACTCTCTTATTAAATATTAACTTAATGAACTTATTTGGTTGTTAATTATAGTAGTATATCTCAAAAAATAAAAAAAATTGTAGATTAGCATTTTTTTTGTTTATCAATATAACATGAAATCTTACGTTTTTCGAGTAATTAAAGTGTAAATTTTAATAAATAGCTCAAAATTATACATAAATATTAAAAAAAAATCGGATTCAAGTTTTTTTCATTATTAATTTGCAGTTTCTGAGAACATTTACCGTAGTAGTGTATATTTTTTTTATACCATCAGAAAGTAGAGATTTCAACAAACAAAAAACACACCACCTTTTAAAAAAAAACAGATATTTTGACGTGAGAATTTTCGATTGCAAAAATATATTTTCTTTGCAGAAACTAAAAATAAAAAACCAAAACTCGGTTCTTCGAATTTTTCACATAAATTTTGAGGTTTCGTGAAAAAAGTGTCGATACAAAAGTTGTAGATCTTTTTATTACCTACAACTTTGCCATTTAACTTTTTTTCATAGAACTTGAAGTTTTACCGGAAATCGAGATTAACCGTTTTTTACCCTTAAAAACTCACCCCCTCCCCCTTCCCGACCTCAGATCGCCCGTAATTTATTTTTCCTTTCATTTTTGTTATATTCTCTACCTTTTCCCATGGGTTTCATCCTACTATATTTTTTTTCACTTTTTACCATTTTTAAAATTATCGACCCTGGTCTATATTGGGTTGGTAACTTGTAACTATTGTTTCCGAAGAACATCTTGGCTATAAGGATCGAACGATGCCACTTTAGCTCGAAGAAATGAATTTGTAACTGACTCTTCCGGTCACACTTTTAATTGCTTTATGTTGCACGTGGGCTAAGCATTTTATTTACCATAATGAAAGTGTACGTGAAGTCAAACGTATCGTTTTGTAAGTTGTGTTTGAACCTCGCTGAATTAATAAAAAAATAACCATAATGCGCATTCATGGGATTCATCATCATCATCAGCCTATTAATGTCCCCACTGCTGGCTCACAGGCCTTCCCTATGGATGGAATAGGGAGATTGGGTCATGACCCACCAAGCGGGCCTAGTGCGGATTGGAGAGTTAAGACTGCTCTTGCAGCCGGAACCAACGGCTTAACGTGCCTACAAAAACACGGAGGAGCTCGAGATAGTAAATTTTCGGTCACCCATCCAATGACTGACCACTGCGAAAGTTGCTTAACTTCAACGATCGCAGCCGAATGCGGGAACCACCCGAACCATCGACCTCCTTTTCATGGCATTAAATAATGTAAGTTAGCACCGTACCTACTCTAGGTGTATGTAAAGTCACGGACTCGCAACCTCTTAATAAGTTATATAAGTTACTTAAATATGGCTTCACAATACAAGGTCAACGCTGCCGGCTATAACCTGAATGTCTGACTTCAGTGTTTCAGAACAAATCACATTATTCACAAAAATCACAAGGAAACTCAGACAAAATGTATGCAAAATCAACATATTAATGTTTGTCTTACTGTTTCTCATTAACAACACCATGACGTATTTAATCACACTTATATTATAAAGGCAAAAATTTGTGAGTGTGTATGTTAGTAACTTCTTCACGTCTAAACGGCTGGAGCGATTTTAATAAAATTTGGTATGGAGACAACCAAAATTTATTAAAAGCGCTCACAAATTAACACATAGGCTGTTTTACTGCGGGAAAATATCCCTAATAAACAGCGGGTAACACCGCGGGGCACAGCTAGTAAAAATATAAATAATAGTCAGCGAAAAGTTAAAGAAAAAAAATACTTCTGGAAAATATATAGCCCATTAACATACAGGGTTGATAGTTTCGGTAACCAACTTCTGGTATTTCTACTTATTATCATCATCTTTAGCGTATTAATGTCCCCACTGCTGGGGCACAGGCCTTCCCTATGGATGGAATAGAGAGATTGGGCCATGACCCACCGCGCGCGCCCAGTCGGGATTTACGGGTGCTAACGACTGCGACTACTTATTTTATTGTTTTCCTATTCGGCAGCATCTAAAATTTTAAAAACATTTTAATAAAAAAAAATAAACCACCGAAAATACTGAAAAGAAAAAAATAATAAACCTTATTTATCTTTTAGTACAGTCATATGGTAGTTTTACCTGGAAAGTTTTTCGGGAGTTTTGAAAATTGGTAATCTTATAGATTTTGAGGTGCTCTTTCCGAATTTCGACTTTGCCACCTCGTATTTTTGCCGCTCGCGCCGCCATGCGCCATATTGGAAAAATGGCGCCTAAATGCAGTTTTTTGACAATATCTCCCTTCCAACTCATTTAAATGAAATTAGAGATAATTGCCTACAAAATATGTATCTACCTTTTTTCATAAAGTCCATAGTTTTGGCGTACGAGCGGCGCAAAGTGTACTCCAACGCGCGCTTTGGTCATTACTCATTATTCATTCAACCTGTGGCATTTAAATTCAACTCATTATATTTGTGACTAAACTATACTGACTATAGATATTATATTATCTATACTTATAATAAATCTGTAGAGATGTCAATTATGTACATGAAATATATTTTTAAAATAACTATCAGGGGGTGATTAGTGATCGATACTGATGCCAAAAATGCAATCAGTAAATTTTTTGTCTGTCTGTCTGTCTGTGTGTATGTTCCTTATAGAAACAAAAACTACTCAACGGATTTTAACGAAACTTGGTACAATTATTCTTCATACTCCTGGGCAGGTTATAATATACTTTTCATCACGCTACAATCAATAGCAGCAGAGTAGTGAAGGGAAATGTTGGGAAAACGGGAGAAGTTACACCATTTTTTAAGCTTCCGTCGCGGGTGCAGCCTTAATGGTTAAAGTTACATAGAAATCATGTATGACGGAAATATTCTACATAAAATTGTCTAAAAAATATCCCGCAACAGCATATGTCTATCTTTTATGGTTGACTCACAATAACACGTGTAATTATATAAATAAAGTCATTCTTTATAGCACAAGCCTGAGAACAAAAACTATAGTTTACACTACAGCTCTACACCGAAGCGAAGCGAGGGCGGGCCACTAGTACTATAATAACCCCATTATGTAAATGAATTACCGGTCGAAACGTCACAGCGTTTCGATTGGTATTAGAGACGATGAATTTGCAATACCTGGTCCAAGGAAACCGGTCTGTGACGTTTCGATTGGTACTACAGACAATGAATTTACAATACCTGGTCCGTCGAGAAAAACAAAGCGAAGGAGAATACGCTAAATTTTAGCACATTGAATTGCATGTGGATTAGGCCTATTGGGGATACCACATTAAAAAAAACGCGCCACTTACTCTAACTCAAGGTGGCGTGGAAATGAGTTTTTGGCCAAAATGCGCGTTGGAGCACACGTTTGCGGCGCTCGTACGTCAAAACTATTGACTTTATGAAAAAAAAAAGGAGATACATAAATTGTAGGCAATTGTCTCTAGTTTCATTTTGTATTAACTGTTTTTATCGTAAAATGAATTGGAAAGGAGATATTTTGAAAAAACTGCTTTTAGGCGCCATTTTTCCAATATGGCGGCGCGAGCGGCAAAAATACGAGGTGGCAAAGTCGAAATTCGGAAAGAACACCTCATAATTTATAAAATTACCAATTTTCAAAACTCCCGGAAAACTTTCTCACCAAAAGACTGTATGTACTATTTAGTCAAATTTGATATAAATTCTTCAAAAGCTAGTAAACAAAAAAAAATGGGTGCGTGTACTTATGTAGGCGCGTGAGAGGTTATCCCTCTTTGGCATCGTTTAAAATTAGTTTTTAATTGCATGCAAATAATTAATTACAATAAATTAATAAAAAAAGTGTGGAAAAAGACACAGTCAATAAAGTTCAGTTTTAATTTAAAAAATAAATAAATAATCAAAATATTCAATTAAAATCGCTACTGAATATAATTTATTAGAACATAATTATGTGATTTGCACTTGTATGAAACTCAAACACGTATTCCGAATATACAAACTAGAAACATGTGGATAAATATTATAAATATGAATACCTATAACTGTTACTTTATTACAAAAAATAAAGATGTGGTTTTTGGTTCTACTACACCAATGGTCAAGAGATGGCGCTGTAGTCTCCTGAATCGCGCTTTGGTTCCGTTGTTGAAGATTAATAAATACTTTTGATAGGCCTTCACAATGCAGTCGTTACCACCCACTAAATAGAGATTCTATTTCTATTTTGTTGGTAGATTTTCTTAATGTGCGGTAAACACAAAAGTAACGCATGAAGTTCGACCAACTTCATGCTGTTAAAATTTTGTGTTACAGTGATGCGCGCGCATCTTAAAATTTCACTCTCATCATTTTTTCATT